TCTCGCGCCCCGCCCTCCGTGTCCCCAGCCCGTTGGCTACTGGCGTCTGGCACCGGGGCCGGGAGCGAGGTGTTGAACTCTCCGTTACGGCTCAGACCTTGTTCACCCTTGAAAACTAAGGCAAAAGGAAGTGGAGTGCCCAGCTCGTCTGCGTTACTGTTCTTCAGCCAGGTCGTTCCTGGAGAGCCTTCCCCTGGCTCGGGAGCCCCCTTGGCTCGCGCGGCCGGGGCGTGGGTCGGCATGCGTCGCAGCTGAAGGTGTGAAGTGCTTTGTTTTGAGAAGAGGTGCCTGTTCCCTGACACTGGTTTGCTCTTGTGTTCTGCTTTAAACACGAATAAAATTGTTCATCGCATCGCTGAGCTCTTTGCCTGGCTTATTCAAGTCTTTCAGATTTATTTCAAGGGGAAACAGATGCCAGCAGTGGTTAATGATAAGATCAGGGCTTTGAAAATCCCCGAGATAGGCACTGGTTGTGCCAGAGCGCCTGTTCATCTTCTTACAAGTTTCTGGTAGAAATTTGTCTTTGCTGCTGCTTTCTTTTTTTTGTGTGCATTCTCGCAGGCACACATTTCATAGGGAAGCTTGACCACTTGTTCTTCTTCTGCCCCAAACCAACGTGCTTTGTCAAAGCAATGCAGTGTTGTCATCACCAAACTGCCCGTCTGGGTTTAGTAGGGCTCACGTGAAGATACGTGAAGGACTGGAAGAAGACATGAGGTTGGCACTCTGGTGCTGTCCCTTGTGTTTACGTGGCTGCCTTGCTGAGAACATTGTTTTCAGCTTGGTCAGCTCCCACGGACAGCATGGCCTTAAGGCAGTTGAGGCAGAGTGAAGTTAGGGGTTTCACCCAAAGTATTCTGCATGCAGTTAATGTGACATTGGCAAAATGAGCCTTAAAAGCCCCCTGCAGACTGTGCTCTCTTACAAGATGTAGTTACTGGAGTTAGAGATCGTTCTCCTGCTGGGCAGGATGGCAAATCCCACTCGCACAACGTAAGCCTGTTTGCTGCGCAGGACAGCAACCACTGGCCTCCAAAACCCTGCTGCACACCCACACGTCTTCCCATTAGTCCCATTTGCCTTGAGCATCTTCAGCCAAAACCACAATTAGTCTGGAGGTTGCAAAAATCAGGATGTAAAGAGGATCCTTCTAAATTTAGCCTTTTATGTATTTACGTTGGAGGAATACAACTTCATTTACTTCCTTCACACTTGTCATGGGCAAACATACTGCTACAGCTCTCTTGTGCACCCAGGGGTGCTGCTGTTCAGCGTCATGATCTGTGGAGTGCGACCCCCCGTTCTGATCCTCCAGAGCTGCCGTGTTTGAGGGCCTTCTCAGGGGACGTCCCTGCTGTTGTGCTGGCCTTGGAATGAGCCTCACCTTGCCTACCTTGGGGGTTGGACTAGATGACCTCTAGGGGTCCCTTCCAACCCAAAACATTCTATGATTCTATGATACCTGCAGACCCGACAAAGCAGGGGTCTCACGCGAGGGGCCTCCTCTCTCTGCTGGCTGGAGGGGAAGGTCTGGCCAGCAGACATCCCCGCGCCAGCACGCAGTCCAGATGGCTGGAGGTAGCTGAGCCGAACGCGCCCTGGAACCCCCTCCTTGCGCTGTGGCCAGCACCCCTTCAAGTTCTTACCTCGTGGCCATGTTCACGGCGTTGGTCAGAGAGCCCACCGTCCCTCGCTCCATCAACTGACCGCCCTCTCTGACTTGCAGGTGGTTGCACAGCGAGGCGAGGACTCAGCCGGGGCTTTGGGCTGCAGCTGAGCCATGGAGATCAACAGGCAACGCAGCAGAGGTGACCCAGCTCCTGGTTCCCCCCTCAGGCCACGCTCTGCCCGAGCCCCACGGACGTGGACGTATTTCTGCTGGTAGGAGCAAACCCTTGTCCCCTCCAATGCCTCTTCCCAGGTCTTTGGGTCCCAATTCCCGTGTTTGGGGGAGCGTGGGCCTTTCCTCACCCTCATGCATGCCTTGTCCCGAGGGATGTGGAACACCGTGCGTCTGCAGTGGCTGCGGTGAATTGGGGTTGGTGACGTGGGATGCTTCGTCTGTTCCCTCTAGTGGTAATTTGGAAGATAGGCTTCTCCCTGGAGCCAGCACCCGTCAACTCCTTCGTAGCTTCCAACAGCTCCCCAAAAGTGCTTTGTTCTGGGGCACAGCTCGGAGGGAGGATGGTGTTTCACGAGCAGCTGAGGGCATCCTTAGGCTGCGCTGCTCATTAATGCGCCAAGAGGAGGCCTGTAGCTACAGGACTGGGCACGAACGTCCTGAAAAAACATTGACAGCGCAGCCCTTGTGAGTGCCCAATCTGTCCGGGATCTTGTTTTCAGGTGAACCTTCCATTTCCCCCCCCTTCCAGATAGCAGCAGGGGCAAAAAATAGTCCCAGCCCATGTTCAACTCTTAGCAGAAAAAGACCCACAGGTTTGATCTCTTCCTCTCCAGTCCGCAGGCTGCAGACGATGAATATTGAGATTTCCTAATCCTCCAGAATGGTTTTTGCTGTGCTTTTGTAGGATTTGCTCATTTCAGTGGTTGGAAGCGGAGATGAATATGTGGAAATTGCACTGAGCGTGAACATGACCTTTGTTTGCTGTAAGGGACGTTGATCACGGGTGTGAGGCTGCAAATGTAACTTTCTGGCTGGTGCTTAAAGTATTTTGCAGAGGAATCATGGATATTGCAGAGAGTGGAAAAGGGTATTGATTCGGCTCGTTTACCATAGATAAAAATACTCTCTTCTGTAACAGAGGAACAGACCCTCGAGATGTGTCCTGCCATCACATTCATAGTAGGATGGATAGAGGCTGACCAGAAACCCACACCGAGAAGTGTAAACGGGCCCTTGGAGTGGAAGCTGAAGTGTCTGGGTAAGCTGCTCAGCAGATGCATTCCTGGTTTGCATTTCCATCCCCGTCAGCGGAGGAAAGTCAACCGTTCCCGTTTGCATTTGTGCGGTGCTCGTGGGGACTCTCAAGGGAGGTTGCTGGTGCCCGTCTTTAGGCAGAGGCCTGGAAGAGGAGAAGCAGCCAGTCCTGCTCGCCCGTCCTCCCCAGCGGCGTGGTGCTGCCGCCTCCCCTGTGTGG